CCCCCCCAAATAACTCTTCATGGGAATAAATCAATAAATAAATAATAAGGCATTATTTACTCAATTTACTCATGTCATCCCTAACACATATGACTTAATAAATTGTATAATTATCTAAATATGTAATTTAATGTGTACAAGTCATTCTGACTTTTTAGATATGAATTTTTATCTGTTTTTTTCTTTGGGGTCACTGTATGATTTTGCAGTAACAGAGAGAACAGCCAGGACATCTACAAAAATATGTGATCAACAGAATAAAAGAAAATGATACAAGTTTGGAATGAGAGTAAATGAAGACAAAATGAAACTATTCCTTTATCTTCACAAGAAAGCTTAATGGGAATGGGACTATTCCTACTGGCACAAACTACCTTGGATACATTTTTTTTAATGAAACCCAGATGACTACAAAACCACTAATAGACGCATTTAAGCAAACAGGGTGGAACTATGAACATAAGCGACTTTACTGCAATACAGGGAGCTTTGTAAAGTTGACGTCAGAACGAGGCAAAGTAGCTCACAGTTAAACACAAAGAAAGAATCAGAGGGATTTACGTAGGCAGACGTCCAGGAACAGGACAAAGTAACCTTCTGTACAGGTGAAATGATGAGAAGGCAGCACAGAGACACACAAATGAAGAACGAGAGGGGAAAAAGGGGAGAAGGAAAGCATGAAAGCAAAAAGATCAGTGGTGTGACAATTATGGAAAATTCTGAAACGGCAAATCAAACTAAATACCAACTCAACCTCAAATATCAGGAAAAATGTGCACGTACCAACTCATTGAGATGAAGCTATATTTGAAGATTTGAAAATCTGATGTCTTAAAATCCTGTATTTCAGGCTGGAAATCATCGCACCTTTACAGGTAACACTGCCTGGCCATCACAGACAGTTCTAGAGAAGCACATACAAAGCTATCCCATGTCTAAACTATTGTTTGTATTGAGAAGAGCCGTCAATGCATTGAAAAGCTGCGGCTGGGACACACCACACATGTGATCTCCAGCCAATCAGATCTCTCCTGTGCTCATGGTATGTTGAAAAGACTGGAAACTCCAGCACACTCAAATCTCACTCCAGATTGTCCTTTTCAGAGATGTTTATCCACCCTTTGAGATAAATAAGAGGAGGACTGCACTCCTAATGTCACAGTGGATCATGTTATGTAACTCCAGTCATATTTA